CTAGACAGAGTAACTGTACCTAGATGGCTGAGAATTTCAACAGAGACACTCAACATCCAAATTCATGGATTTGCAGACGCTTCAACGGTAGCGATGAGTGCAGTGGTGTATATTCGCACCAAAACCATTAACGATTCGACATCAACAGTACTGGCATGCGCGAAGACTAAGGTAGCACCACTCAAGCGCATGACCATCCCTCGTCTAGAGCTCACAGCAGCTCTTCTACTGACTCAGCTAGTGGCATCAACGAAGAAAATGCTCCAACTCGACTAAGTAGACACTCATCTCTGGTCTGATTCTTCAGTAGCACTAGCTCGGATCAGGAGCCACGCATCAAGATGGAAGGACTTCGTCCACAACAGGGTCGTCAAGATCCAGGAAACTCTCCCGAATGCTACCTGGAGACATGTCAGTGGAAAGGAGAATCCAGCTGATTGTGCCTCCAGAGGCATATCACCGAGCCAGCTAGCAGATCATCAACTGTGGTGGTCAGGACCTGAGTGGATTAATCACGATCCTGAAGAATGGCCACAATCATCAATCGACGCCCCAGCCATGGACATCCCAGAAGTGGCCAGAGAAGCAAAACCGGCACCAGCACATCCAGTTGCAATTAAAATCAACGAAATTGCAGAGCTACTCAACAGATATCAGATGATGGCTAAATTGCTAGCCGTAACAGCTACGGTCAACAGAGCTATCGACAGATTCAGGAGGCAGCCAACGCCCCCGGGACCTGTCTTGACAACCAGAGAACTCAACGACGCGAGATTATTTTGGGTAAAGATAACTCAACATCAATACTTTGGGCCAGCCATTCGAGCNCAGAGGTCGTTACGTTGACGACATTTACGGCGGTGCAGAGACGGAAGACGGTCTCAAGGAGATCGCAACGCAACTACAAGGGCTTTGCCATGCAGGAGGCTTCTCTCTACAGAAGTGGAGCAGCAATTGTTCAGAGGCTCTGCATGAGTTAGGCCTATCAACTGAAGAAGAATTTATCCAGTTCGAGAAGTCAGTCACCAAGGTACTTGGATTATGTTGGCATCAATCCACCGACACATTCCGGTACAAATCAAAGGATTTCAATACGTCGACAATCACCAAGNACCACACTAGTCATCGAAGAAGCTCACCGCAAAATACTACACGGAGGAACTCAACTCACCTTGGCCTACACACGTCAAAANAACTAGCCAAGCTGACACCCACACTAGACAACGAAAGGATCATGAGACTTAGGGGACGCCTCAAGAACTCGCAATTAAATCCAGACGAAATTCACCCAATAATCTGGCCTCGCCAGTCACGCCTTNTTGGAGATTGAAACTAAAATGGGATGATCCTCTTCCAGATGATTATGTTCAACGCTGGAAGACATTCCGAGAAAATCTCAACGATNACACGGAGGAACTCAACTCACCTTGGCCTACACACGTCAAAAGTACTGGATAATCGGCGGCAGAGGCACAGTTAGAGCATATATTCAACGCTGTGCCATCTGCACTAGACACCGAGGAAAACAGGCCCAGCAGNGCTTCAACGGTAGCGATGAGTGCAGTGGTGTATATTCGCACCAAAACCATTAACGATTCGACATCAACAGTACTGGCATGCGCGAAGACTAAGGTAGCACCACTCAAGCGCATGACCATCCCTCGTCTAGAGCTCACAGCAGCTCTTCTACTGACTCAGCTAGTGGCATCAACGAAGAAAATGCTCCAACTCGACTAAGTAGACACTCATCTCTGGTCTGATTCTTCAGTAGCACTAGCTCGGATCAGGAGCCACGCATCAAGATGGAAGGACTTCGTCCACAACAGGGTCGTCAAGATCCAGGAAACTCTCCCGAATGCTACCTGGAGACATGTCAGTGGAAAGGAGAATCCAGCTGATTGTGCCTCCAGAGGCATATCACCGAGCCAGCTAGCAGATCATCAACTGTGGTGGTCAGGACCTGAGTGGATTAATCACGATCCTGAAGAATGGCCACAATCATCAATCGACGCCCCAGCCATGGACATCCCAGAAGTGGCCAGAGAAGCAAAACCGGCACCAGCACATCCAGTTGCAATTAAAATCAACGAAATTGCAGAGCTACTCAACAGATATCAGATGATGGCTAAATTGCTAGCCGTAACAGCTACGGTCAACAGAGCTATCGACAGATTCAGGAGGCAGCCAACGCCCCCGGGACCTGTCTTGACAACCAGAGAACTCAACGACGCGAGATTATTTTGGGTAAAGATAACTCAACATCAATACTTTGGGCCAGCCATTCGAGCACTCCAGAGAAATCACCAACTACCGAGAAATCATCAACTAGCCAAGCTGACACCCACACTAGACAACGAAAGGATCATGAGACTTAGGGGACGCCTCAAGAACTCGCAATTAAATCCAGACGAAATTCACCCAATAATCTGGCCTCGCCAGTCACGCCTTACCACACTAGTCATCGAAGAAGCTCACCGCAAAATACTACACGGAGGAACTCAACTCACCTTGGCCTACACACGTCAAAAGTACTGGATAATCGGCGGCAGAGGCACAGTTAGAGCATATATTCAACGCTGTGCCATCTGCACTAGACACCGAGGAAAACAGGCCCAGCAGCAGATGGGTCAACTACCAGCAACGAGAATCTCACCAGCAAGAGCATTTCTCCACACAGGGGTGGACTATGTAGGACCATTCGCCATCCTCAAATGGAGACCAACGAATGCACAACCAGGATCAGTGCACAATGCAGTTATTGTGTA